ATTAAGTGCTCTGAGGCAGATACTTTGGAAGCTGGATCTGAGACTTGAGATGTGACCTTCTCAATGCCATGTAGCAGGTTAACATGCTTCAACATTCCCAAGTCCATGAATCTGCCTTTGCTCTGAGGAGAAGACAAGCAATCCTCTTCACAAGTAGAGCTCTGCACCTGTCATTAAGTGGCACTGGGCTAGAATGATTAAACATGTGGAAGAATCAACCAGTTTTTAAGGTATCAGTTGGCATCTAAGCTGCTTGTCCAAGCTGATGAACAAAGGACAAAAATGTAAAAAAAAGGAAGAAAAAGGAAGAAGCAAAATTCTGCCTCAGATCATAAATAACCTGTCCCCCTTAAACCATCCACACTCCATTTTTGTCCATGTGACCTTTGCTGGTTTTTACTGGCAGGCTGGTAAAATTTTTAAAAGGGAAAACAGAAAAGTTCAGCTAATTTCTTAGCCTTTTCTTAGCTCCAGCTGCACAGGTGCACCTCCACAGCACAACACCTCACAGGGCAAGAAGGGACAACTGCATCTCTTGCTGCTGCTGGCACAGGTGAGGATGGTGCCAGGCTGCCTGTGGATTGATTCAGGATTCACAGCCCAGCAGCTCTCCCTGTCCAAGATCAACCTTTAAGATATAAACCTGCCTGAAGGAGATGGCAACAGACACTGAGCAAGCCAAAATCAGGCTGATGTCTGCAGCCAGGACAGGTGGCTGCTATGAACAAAAGGGAGTCTGAAGGGTTGAGCCATAGTGGCCTCTCTTGGAAAACCCTCCCAGAAATTCCTCAACAGCTATCAGAGCTGGTACACCAAGACCTGCCACCTCAGTCCCCTCACCTGTCAGGGATGAGAAGGCAAAATGGGTAAGACACCTTAGTGTGAAAGGCAAGAAATGAGTTGGAGAGTTTATGGATAAAAGAAAAGAGAACAGAAATTCATGCTATGACTAGGGACATCAGGAATACCCAATAGACAGACAGCAGTGACATAAACAATTTAGAGAGGGAAAAATGAGTGAAACCTTCTACATCTTTATATCACCATTACCAGCACACAGAGACCACCACGTTTATTCCAGACTTACCCAAACTCCTTGCTGAACAGTGCACAAAAATCGAGGTCTCAGGCTTTACTTGTAACATAGCAAATGGCCCCAAAAGTGCAGCAAAGTAAGCAGAACAAAAACAGTGACCACAATGGGACCTTCTAATACAAATCATAAAGCTCATCTTGCCAGAAGACAGATGTTTCCTGAAAATCACTGTGGAAGGAGCTCCCTCAGAAACTAAGGACCAACACAGTCAATATCATCTCTCTCTGCAAGAGAGATAACTATTCTAGAAGTCATCTCCTTTAAAATAGAATGAAAAAAAAAAAAAAAAANAAAAAAAAAAAAAAAAACAAAAGAAAACCATTACAAGCAACTGTCATATACGGAACACCCTTGCAAGAAAAACGAGCCAGTTATCCACAAATGACAGCTGACAGCAGCTTAACACAGTGCTGTTAGGATGTCAGGTACAATATGAATGAGACAAGATGAGCAGAACACATTCACAAAAAATGGAAAGTACAGTAATAAAGAAAGAAGCATCAGTAAAATATGGGAAAATGAAAAGGACCAGAAGGAAATGAGGTATAAAAAAGAAAAAAAGGTAAAGAATGGAGCAACATACTGAGATATTATCTTGAAGCAGACAATCCCCTGGCATTAACTGGTGCAGAACATTGTCTGGAACAGGTCAAGGACAGTTTCTGTCAGCTGAGGATTTGGTCCTCCACACAGAACCAGGCAATGGCAATGACAGCATCCTGCCTGGTTTCCTTGGGTTGCCTTCCCCCTCAGAAAGTGAAGAGGCAACGCAGGAAGACAATAAGATGATGCCATAAATTAAAAGGCAAGGCTTAACAGAAATCAAAAAATAGATGAAGAACAAGCAATAAAAACAAAGGGTTTGGGAAAGGCAAGATAAAAAGAAAATATCCACAGATTAGTGGAGTACATTTTATTTATTCATGATCTCTCTTTTATTATGTGTCCTTGGCAGATGTCCCACAACTGAAAATTTGCAAGGCAGATAGTGATGAGAGTTTAGAGACTTGAGCCTTGTTTCTGGTCATTAGCCTTGGGCAGAACTCTTCAATATATATGCCCCAACAGGAAGTAAACAAGTTCCTTAAATCAAGAGTCTTTGGACAGAAGACATGCTGCAAACAAATGGGCTTAGACGGGGATCCCAGGAGTTAAGACAAAAGCATGGTCTCGACCTGTTCTCAAGTAACCAAGCTGAAGGTCAGGCTGCTAGCAGGGATAATGCCCAGCAGGACACAGACTGCCTCTGACCAGCTCACAGCAGACTGCCTTGCACCCACCCTCCTTGTTAAGCAGCCTTTATTTCACCTGAGAGCATGCGGGCTCAGCCAGCCCAGCTGGCAGCACAGGGGTGCCACCAGCCATGGCAGCAGCCTCTGGAGCATCCCAGCACCGAGGCAGGACACGTCCAGCTCCGGCCTGGCCAGGGCTCAGCCAGAACAGCACACCTCTGGCAGATGCTGAGTGCTGAAAGCTCGGCTGCCTCACTCTCCAGGCAGGTTTAAGGTGCCTCTGCAGCTCGGCCCAGTCACTGCAGAACCTTGTTTTGCACTGGGGCTGAATGGTCTTGGCACTGAGTGCTAGAAGCTGATTTTATCCTGCCTGTGGCTGTAATTGCACAGCTAAGGTGGTACTGGTGGCTAAACACCGATTTGCCATCTTTTCAGGTTTGAGGTGGTTTTATTCTTGCCCTGGGAAAGTTGCTAAGTCCTAGAGGGGGTGAGCAAAGAACTTCTCCTCCTTCAGGACCTCTCTGTTTCTACAAAGGACATTCTAGTAAAACATCTGACCTCACCTGTCCCAGGAACGATTCTAGAGGTCACACTGCAGTTTGCATCAGCTCAGCTGAAAGCTTATCATTGATTTTCTTTTGCCCACACTCGTCAATAGGAAGTTGAAGGGCTGCTACAAGGCTGTGGGTTGCCTTAGTGCTGAGACAGGTAACAAGACATAGACATTTACAGACAAGGAAGAAGGTCTCTTAAAAAGGAGCTTTTATGTCCTCTGCTACAAATACATATAGATGTATTCTTTTTATAATTTCAAGACCCGCTTAAATTTATCCAGACAGTATAAAGCAGATCTAACAGACAAGCAAAGAACTGTGATTTAGGAAATCTATATTATTTTGGACCTTCCCCATAGTTTAATTCCTGAAATTTAAAAAAAAATAATTATACTGTGCCCTCTTTTAAAAGAAAACTGTTCTGAAATCTACAGCTAAGAAGCACTGTTGTAAAAGCTAACAGACTAATGTCTGTTAAAGTTCTTTTATCATCATTTAGCTACCTAACTGTATTTAAATAATTTACACAATTTCAGAACATAAAATCATTTTTGTCTACCCACAGTGTTATCTCAGCAGAAGTTTAGATACAGAAACTAAAAGGTTTCTTCCTTATAAGCCTTATAATTGTCTTTCATTCCCCCAAATGACTACTGGTTTCAACACTGCTGCTATGGGCATCTTCCCCCCAGCAGCAGATATTAAATACATCATGCAAAGTTAAAAATGGTTCATGGCTTAGGATATGAACTCAGATCAATTCCTACCAAAACTGTAGGTTATTTATTTAACCCTAACTGATTAGAGGAAAGATTTTGGGAAATGCTGCAATTTTGACTGAGGAAAGTAAGAATGAGTGGTCCAGGGCATGTTTCTGCAAAATGAGATCTGCCCCAGGTATCCCAAGTCAGACACCCAGAACTTGAGTCATACATCCCCTCTGAAACTCCTGGCTCCCGTACAAGCCTGCTCCCTCTGTCCCCTCAGGACGGTAGCTCGAGTGCCTTATGCCATCTATTGGCCTAGACCAGTGACAGGCGCTCGGAGGAGAACTTTAATTCTGGGAAAGCGACTGTGTTAAAAGGAATCTGTCGGTAGATCTGTAAATTCTGCTAATGGAATCAATACACTGCCACTGCTCATATCTTGAGGTCTACCTTGCCCAGCAGACACACGGAGTTCAGCTCCCAGAATAACCAGCAGCTGTGCTTTGCATTAGGCAAATATAAAATAGTACACAGCGATCTCGCAGGCAAGAAAATCCAGAAAATAAGCAGAGAAAACTTTCACTGTCCTGCAAATGAACATTTAAAAAGTCATTCATAAAAAGAGAAAGCTCCTTCAAAATCCACTTAGTTTTAAAGTCTCGTTAACTATCCCAAACTTAGTATAAGTCTACTTTAAACCGGACACGCATAGTGAAGAAACTTCTTCCACATTTCCTTAGCCACAAAGCCTACTGTAGCCATTCACAGCTGCTTAAATCTAGTTTACTTTATAACCTAAACGAGTTTCTAAAAGACGAGGAAGAGCTGTACAACGCAAAACGACTCAGAGGCATCGCCACTAACCCTCTCCCGCTCAGGCCATTACAAAGCAGCCGCGGAGATCCCGGCAGGACGCGTCCCCTCCGAGGGCCAGAGCGGTGCCCGCGCCCGCTGCGGAGCCGCCTCCCGCACAGGGGCTGCGCTCCCGAGCCAAGACTTCGGCGGGGCAGCGAACGCGCCGAGGCTCCCCCTGCCCCGGGTGGCATCCTGGGCACCCCTCTTCCTCCTCCTCCCGCGGCTGTTTGCCCGCAAAAGGCAAAGAGAAGACATCGAACCTCCGGCACCGCGGGAGCCGCGCCGCACCCCGCGCTGTCCGCTCCGAGCCGCGGCCGCTGCCCCGGGGCCGGGGCGGCGCTGCCCACCTGGAGCCGCCGGCGGCCGCCCCGCCGCGCTCCCGGCCCCGCGGGGCCGCCCGAGGCGGGAGGGGAAGGCAGGCGGCTGCGGGCGGGCTCCGGCCATCCCCTCCCCGGCCCCGGGCATCCCCCGGCCCCGCGCCCCGCTCCCGTCCCGGCGCCCCGGAGGGTCCCGCAGCGCCCTCGGGGGACCCCGCTCCGCTCCCCGCGGTGCGCACCGAGCCCGAGCGGTGTCGCCTGGCCTCCGGGGTTCCCGGTCCGCTCGCTCCCGGGCGCTCGGTGTTCCCCAGAAGTCCCGCTCCACGCCCCGGGGATCCTGCTCTGCGGCGGAGTCCCGCCCCCACGGTTTCCTCTTCTCTCCGGAGCGTCCCCGCACTTTGCCTCTCGGTCCCGCACAGCACCCCCGGCGTCTCGCCCCGGGCCGGGGAGTCCCGCACCCCCCGGATCCCGTGCGGATCTGGCAGCGCCGCTGCCCCGCGTAGGCACCTACCCGGCACGCCCAGGCAGTGCCGCCGTGCCGCGGCTCGGGAGCGGGGCCGCCCGTCCGGAGCGGCGATGCTGCCCCGGCGGAGCGGGCCGGGCCGGGCGCCTCCCGCCCGGGGCTGCGGCAGCGGCGCGGAGCGAGCGCCGGCCCTGCCGCCCGCGCGGCGCTCTGGGCTCGGGGCTCGCTGTCCCGCTGCTGTGCGGCTCGGGGCTCGCTGCGGGCTCGCTGTCCCGCTGCTGTGCGGCTCGGGGCTCGCTGTCCCGCTGCTGTGCGGCTCGGGGCTCGCTGTCCCGCTGCTGTGCGGCTCGGCGCTCGCTGTCCCGCTGCTGTGCGGCTCGGGGCTCGCTGTCCCGCTGCTGTGCGGCTCGGGGCTCGCTGTCCCGCTGCTGTGCGGCTGCGGGCTCTCTGTCCCGCTTTTGTGCGGCGGGGCCGGCGCGGCGCGCTCAGCTGTCAGCGCCCGGGGATGGATCTGCCATCGATCCCCAGCGCCGGTGCGCTGGAGTGGCGCATACGCGGCTTGATTAGCGGCGGTGCAGCCTGAGATGCGGAGATGCAGAGGGAAGTAATTTGGTTTCCGTGTTGTGCCCCAGAGGAGTTGTTTGCTTGTGTCAGGGCTCAGTTCTGCCCCAGCTAAAGTCAGAGGGCAACGGGAAGCCAGGCCAGCTCCCAGCGTAACTCGAAAGCACTATTGCGACAGCGTTCCGAGGTTAAACATTTTGTCTGTTTCAGTGGTGTCGTTTTGAAAATTGCCGATAATGAACGGGGAGGGTTATTCCTTCATCACAAATTTTGACAGACTGTAAAGCATTTTCTGCACTTTTGCCAAACTTTTCAAAACTTTTCACTAACAAAAAGTACTCCAAAACATCATCATCATCATCATCATCATCATCATCATCATCATCATCATCAACATTGTTGTCGTCATCACTAACTGCAGAATTAAAGGGGGGAAATCTGTTTCATAACTATTTCTGCCAGTTATTTTCCTAATCAATTTTAGCTTGAAAAAAAAAATTTGCACAAATATTGCATAAAATTCTCCTCTGTTTTGAGCGGAGATTTCATTGTGGTGGATGTTTTCAGAATTCATTACATATTTTAAGGAGAATAATTCAACAACCTGTTTTTTAGAGGCAACACAAATTATTATGCTGATGTGTTCTTGTTGTGGTAATTATTTTTTAGTCTTGTAAGAGTCCTTAATTGTGAAGACCGAGGAGAGGGGGGATCCTAAGAGAATACATTTCTCTCTATGTTTATTGTTATTCCCTTAAGATACTATTGCTCTGCAGAGAGGATTCATTTTATTACATGTTATGATGTATAATATCATTAATAAATTAAAATTTTTATCACATTTATCTTTCATTAATCACAAAAGTTTTAATCCCTGCAGAATATGTCTTGTCCAGATATTACATCAACCCTTCAATGTTGTGCACAGCAATATGCATTTATGATACACATCTTTTTCAAAACCCATAATTAACTAGGAGTACAGAATGACATTTAGTTACAGAAAGTTTGTGAGAAAGTCATGCCCTGAGTGCAAAGCGAGTTCCTCAGAACTGTTCAAATACAAGAATGTGAAGAATACTTCCTGAAGACAAATGAGGTCATCTTAGTGGGTCATTTGGAGATTTCAGCATAAAATTTGAAAGATCCTGCAGAAATATTGTTACTGACTTTTGGAAATGATACTGCAGCACTGCAGCCCATCAGATGGTTACACAACCTCAAGTCATCTCAGGCAAGAATGTGAGATGCTGAAAATTGCCCAGGAAGGTGAGCTGCAGCTGGGCAGCAAGGACACACATGTTTCTAACCCACAGTGACATCTGCAGTGACAGAGGGGGAAAAGGTAATTTTATTGCCTGTGTGAACACTGCTGGTGACACTGGTGACTCTGTCCTCAGTGCCTGTTGTGGGCACTGGATGTGTCCCATGGTGCTGCTGTGCCTGGCAGGGAGAGCAGAAACATGCTGCCTTGGCTGCTCATCAAGCCTGTCGAGCTGCAATCTGCATTATCATAACTTGGAGCTCCTTACATCAGCATCATCCTGCACTGCTCTTTTCTAAACAACAGACCCAGTCCCCTGAGGGCAGCACATTTAGAAAAGCCAGTTCTTTCCTCCCAATGTTCTGCAGACCCAGGCATCTTCTCTGTTTTATCTGCATCAAGAAATACCACAAAACATAGGAATTTTATTTATTTTTGCATTTGATGCATCGTGGTTTCTTTTCACATAAGCAGTGTCTGAGAACCGAAATGTCTGAAGAAACATCTTTCAAAGCAGTTTTTCACGTGCTTCCTCCAAAACACAGCAACTCCCCTCCTGAGCTGTGATCATGCTTTTACATGGAGAGCTGACTTGTGGGTTTTGGGCAGGTTTTAGCAATTTCATTTTAAAATATGCCCTGGATTTTGCTTGAATCAGTCATCTGGAGAGATTTCTATCTTCCTGATGCAGAAAAACTTATTGGCAGCTGTTTATGGTGGGCATGAGCCTAGTTCCTGGCAGTGAGAAATAAAAAGGAAATCTAAGCTATAACACCATCATCTTCATTGCCCTGCAGTGGTTTATAATATTGCAAAATGGTATTAACTGTTGCTCACCAGCTTAAAAGGATCATGAGACAAAGACTGTTAAGGAAAGTAGCATATATAAGACTGGCTCATAGTATCTTGTGCTGTAGCCAAGGGTCCATGAGAAATATTATTCAGGAACAAATAATTACAAAATGTCCAGATTAGTCTTTAAAATATTAACTCCTTAAAAGTTGCTGGTCATAAGTTAACTCAAGACAAAACTGTTGTTTTAAATTTCTCTTAAGAAGATTTTCACCAGTGGCATGAGGAGTGAACATATGGCTACATCAGAAGAGATTGTGACCCCCCATAAAATAGCTTGCATCCTTTTTATGGCTCTTTAAAGTATGCAGTGGGGCTATCCAAAGTCAAGCTGCCACTGGCTAATCTAAACTGGAAACAGCAGTGCCCTGAGCACTGTTGTGCATGTGTTTGTTGTGTTTGTGTAACATTTCCATCCCTAGGGACTGGCCATTATCCCCCCTCTATTTGTTTTCTTCCCTGAATTGCCTTCATCCAACCAAAATATGTCAGCAGTTACAGCAGGGGGACTCTATTAAAGACAAATGGACTCAGTGTTCTTCCTGAAGAAATACTCATAATTTAAGCTGCACAGCTGTGGGACAAATTTAGAGCAACTCTGCCTTAGGTACTTTCTTGGGGGAAAAGAAAAAAAAAAGTTATTTAGAATGGCAACCCTCCTGTCAGTGAGAGCTGAATCTGCTCTACTCTGCCTGCTGCAATCCCATCCTTTCCAGCCTGCAAGGGACACATGGGACAGGGACTGAAACACCACCTGCAGCCCCTGCAGTGACCATCCACGGCCACCACAGCAGCCAGAACAGGGGTTTCCACTTGCTGCACAAAAACAGATACAAATCACAGCTTTTCACACTCCCATTGACTTACGTGTTCCTCAGTGCAGGACTCTGGGTTGATTTGCACCCTGTCTGGATGAAAACTGTCTCATTCAATTGACTTTTACATGGGGTTTGTACTACCTCCAAAAGCTCAGTCCTGCCTCTCATACAAATCAGAGGAACTACTCTTGCAATATTATGTTTTTGCATTGTCACGGGTAAACAGAAGTAAACTGAACCCTCTTGTATTTGCTTTTGTATTCCAGACCTGAGGACTGTCTTATGCTGTTTTGACTTAAGAAAGTCAGTGGGAGTTTTCAATTCATTCTATTCAGTTCAAGAAGATAAAATTTATCTGTGAATGGCAGGGCCTCTCCTTAATTATCCTGAAAAAATAACTTCATATAATGCAACCTAGTGCCTTCAATTCATTAAATAGAATATTTCTAATTATAAAAAAAGTATTACCAGAAGTTAGTCAAAGGGTTTTAAATGGTTTGTGAGGCAGCATGATCCATTAACTTGAGGAAAAACTGCATCTGCTGCAGAGCCAGGAACAGAACTTAGAGCTCTAGAGGTTTTTTTACTGTTTTTTAATGCTGAAATTGTTAGTAAAGTATGAATAGTCAGAGGAGAACACTGCATTTGAATTTAAAAGCATCTGCAAGTGTTGCTAGGAAAACGTGAACCATAACAGATCTTCAATTAAGCAGAAGGTAAGAAATTTATCAGTGTCAGCTCCCTGGTTACCAGACTATTGACAAAGTTCTTAGGAAGATAAGTCAAATGTACATTAAACATATTGCATTTCTGAAAATTATTTTTTCCATTAATTGTGAAAACATATTAACAGAGAACCTTGTTTAACAAAAGATAAACAGTAAATTACTGGATCACTAGTCAGCAAAGTAGGTAGGAAATTCCTGGTACATTTTCTAACTCAAAGCAATCTCAAATTGCAATGTGACGTGTAGCAGGATGTGTCTAACGTAGAACCTTGTGAGCACAATATATAAATGACAATTCCTGTGAATGTTGAATGCAGCAGCTGTCATTACACAGGCTACAAATACAGTAATTACACTTTGGATGTGTAACCTGGCTTGCCTGTCACAGCTGCATTTCTGTTTTCAACAAATACACTGGGGTTTACAGAGCTGAGCCTTTAAAAAAAATAATGGAAAACATTGTTCCTAAGGTAAAAGATGACAAGGTCTTTCAATGGGAAAAGGATGTCTGTAAAGAATGGTGAAAATGGTTTGTATGTAATCTTTTAATTTCTATTACAAGTTTATGGCAGGGGAAGGAGTGGGTGTCTGTGCTTAGGAAGCTGCAGGAGAAGGTGAGGCCTTCTTTTGTCAACCTTTTTTCTCTTATTTTTTCTTTTCTCCTTTGCTGTCTTTCTTCTCCATTTTCAACTCCATTACTATTCAGTATTACTAAGGTGGTCCCTTAGGAACC